TTTTTTTGGTGTGGAAGGTGAACAGTTCTAAAAGCTCTGAAATGTGTCTCCCTTTTAAGAGTTACTTAATCCACAAACAGCAGAGACTAGTGCTGAAGCTTCTATTTAAGGCCTTGTCTTCTCTGAGAATTTGGCCTAATTTTAAGCTGTCAGTGGACAGCTGCTGAGTGCCATACAAGTGCCAGTCCAAATGAGGAACACCATTGTAAGCCATTATTTTTACCTGAGGACCTGTCCTGATCTGAGTGAGGGGTAAACTTGTGCACCACAAAGAGTAGATTTACCTGCTTCCTCTTAAGGTTTGCTGGGATGCAGTTATGCCAGTGGCTGAAACTAGGGCAGCTCTCCACTGTAGATAACACTATCAATAATATATTTGTACTTTAGACTCTTTGGCAAAATAGTTGGTATTGTTTTGAAATTCTGGAGCGTGGGTGGCGGTGTGCAACAGGTGGGCTGGTTTTGGTTGGTTCTCAGTTTGCAGTTTTAAATAGTGAAATGGGAGATCAAAGGACTGTCCCTAAATTCCTTGCAGGAAAGACTTACTTCCTACTACCCGATTGTAATATAGTAATGCAAAGTATATGTGTATATTTTAATTGCCCTTCATTAGAATACAGTGCTGCATTCTTAAAATCCTTAGAACTCAGTCTCCTCTGGATGGCATAGGGAGTCTGACATTTATGCAGATTCAGTAAGACCTTTGGTGCGGAACTTTGATGTGGTATTGGCAGGGCATATGCAGTTGATATTTCCAGTGCTTAAAATATTTAAGTGGAGGGCACCATGCTTAAGGCAAGGAATATTCTGTGGGATAAAATCTATTTCTGTTGTCTAGAAGGCTTTCTTAACTGCTTGTGTTGAAGCCATATTGGAACTTAAGTAAGACAACCTCAACCACTGTAGTTATTTCACAAAAGCCATGAATTTGTTTTAACAATGTATCATGTTTCAATTGAAATACTTAAAAGGTCTAATTTTCCCTGTCTATGAATACATACATTGCCCTAGGAAGAGGAGAAAAAAATAGTTTACTCATTTTCCTTCATCAGAGCATCATGTAACTAAAAAAACCCTAACTCAGAATGATGGAGGAATAGAACCTTTGGGGTATTTTTTCTTCTGCCTTTTTTTTCTGTTCTCCTTTTTTGTTTCTGTTCACTGCCTTGAACATTCAAAATGGAAAGAAAAGACTTTTCTGATTATATCAAGACAAAAAAATCTAAACCAGACTATAGAAAACTTCTCCCTAAAAGCCCTGAGGTTTCTTTCACCTTTTTAATCCTTGCAAAGTGCTATGTGAAATCACATCACAACTGACGCACACCCAAAAAGAAAAAGATTTTGCAAGGTAGCCAAGCTCAGGTTGTAGTCACAAGATTTTCATTTAGCTGAAGGAGACTCATGTAAGAGGGCTACAACTGGCTTATGTTTATGGTCACTATCATACTGATAATATTTCTTTGTACTTTGAGTACATATGGCATATGCACTTGTCCTTATAAATAAATTTCCCTATGATACTATCATAAACTCTCTCCCCCACCCTTCAAATGGTACCACATCTTTTCCTTCCATTTCTTGTTTCTTTCACTTCTCTTGTCCTTTTTTTCTCCATGAACTATGTTCTCCACATTGATTTCAGTGATGATGTTTTCTCAAGACTGATATTCTAAATTTTTTAGATTTAAGTTGCTTTTAGTCCTATAAAACTTTTCTCAAATACCTTTAAATCTGAAGTAAGTAAATATGACCAACAACTTTTCTTGTTATATAGAATGCACATTGATAAAATACAATATTATCAAATTACAAATATTATGCAATTGCAAATTATGTCAGGAAATAAACAGGGATGGATTCCAGTTTCTTTAAATTTAGTTTGAATTTAGGTATAAATTTAAATTTATTTTGAAATGTATATTTAATAGCACTGAACAAAATCATCAGTGATCTGCTGAAAACTATATTAAAAACACAAAGCACTACTTTTTTTTTTTATCATATGAAGATCAGTGCACTTGTCTGTGTTTTGGCAAAGGCTTAATTTGGGGGGAGGGTTTGGCGGAAAGTAAAAGAAGATTGTTAAGACAATTTTGGGCAAGGGGGGAAATCACCCTGAGAGATTTACTGCTGTCAAGGTGTATGCATTCTGTGACATTTATTCTCCACCCATTGCCAGTAATTCTGTAATCTAAAATCATGTCTTTATTTTCTCCTGTAAAATTGAAAGCATAGCTTTTCAGGCTGAAAAGAATTGCTTGAAGACAAGATTTGATATATTTGACACTAAGTTGTATTTCTCAGTCAGGTAGAAAACATCATTCTAGGAGCCATGAAGTGCTCCTGTTCCGTTCCTAGGGTTAGTCTTTGAAATGCTGAAAAAATCAGTGTCTGCATTAAGTATTCTGCTGCTGGTCATTTTTGCCAAATCCTCCAGCTGGTGTTCTAACCCTGCAGCCTGAATTTTCACATGATTTCCTGGGTGCAATAGGGCTCCACTGACAGCTGCATAACAGTAAAAACTTCAGGTTTCATATTTATATTGGTAGAATTATAGTATTCCAAAGACTAAGCAGGAGGAAAATATAAAAACCTGCTTGAATGTAATATAAAGATGTAATAAAGAACATCAGCTACTTAGCTATTCTAATCAATTTGTGTATTTTAATTAACTAAAAATCTACAGCAAAGTTCTGTTCTAGTTTCCCATCTTGCACAGAAGGGCATTACAGGAATTTTGCCACTTTTCCTCTTTTTAAGTCACACCTTGCTTTCTCCCTTCTTTATCCTATTATTCTCCCCTCTGCACCTCATTTTCTTTCTTTTTCATCATCCATGTGTTCCCTTCATTCATGTAAAACAGGAGATAAGGACATTTTTCAAGAGGCAACCTGCAACAATTTTTTTTAATCTTTCTATGGAAGTACTTGAAAATGGTAAAAGTTATCTCAGTTCTCAGTAAAAGTATTCAATCTCCTTTCTACTCTCATCATAAACAAGAAGATTCTTCCTCTGTATAGTCAATAACCTTTCCTCTTCTGAAAGGGTTCTTCCTCACACTTGTTCAAGCTCTAAGCAGCTTCTTAACATAACCAAAGAACACTTTCTTCCCTAAGGTTGGTTGTGTCTATCAAAAAGCTCTTCCTTTTTCTCCAACTTTTATACCTTTCTAATTTTATAGGACGGTATTTTTTGTCCTTCCTCTTTTCTGCTTTTTCACTCTATAGTTTTATTTTTATTTTAAAGTTTTGCCAGAAGAGCAATGTTATGCAAAAGTGCAATCCCCCACTTTCCCCATCCCTCTAGCAAGATGGAAATACTCAAAAAAGTCTTAGAGAAACTACAGCCGTGCTTTTAAAAAAAGGAAGAAAGTCACTTTGCTAGTGTAACATACTCTTTTGAAGAGACCGTACTGTCAAGAAACTCTTGAGTTACCAGCAGCAGTTTAGTTTTGCAAGGATGTACCGCTAAATTCTTTTGTGTTTAGACCTGGTGTCTTTTTTCAAAAATCTAGAAAACCGTTTTCTCTTTTGCTTCTCTCATTCTTTTTCTACATGTGCTTATTCTTTTGCTGTGCAACTGCACTGTTACTATATATATATTTTTAAAGGGTATGGAAGCATTATATAAAATGTACAGTGCAGTGTTTTCAGTGAGTCCATTTTAGGTTTTGAAATTAGAACAATTATGAAGTGTTTTAGTCTGACTTCATATGAAGGCCTCTGACTGTTACAGAAATGCACATTAAAAATATCAGTAAAAATAATATAGTTCATCTTGAAAAGGGGCATAATCTACTATAAAAATCTGCTAATAGTCCATCTATTGAAAGTGCCAGACCTGCTGCCCCCAGAGTAACACAGTAGAAGACAAGACCGTATCAAAAGCACATGGAGATCTACCAACATTTTTGGTGTAACTGTTTTTTTCATCAAAAGGGTATTGTACGATCCTAAATTTAAGGGCACATTTCCAAAGAGAACATAACTACATCAGCATTATTTGAAAAAGGAACAATTTGTGCATGTAACGCGTGCATTTATGTATGTAATTCAGGCAAGCATACTATTTTTAGAGCTAATTTATTTATGCAAGCAAATAGCAGGCACACAACATTTTACCTTAAATCACTACTTTGGGGAAGTGAATCAAACAATTCCTTAGAGGGCAAAACGAGTTAACCACAACTCTTTTCACGATGTGTATAACCTAACTCCTATCAACCATGCTGCTTTGTATACAATAATTATAATCGACTTCAAAATATATCAATAGCAGGCTAATTAAAACAGTCAGTAAAATGTGGTTTTTATATTTTGGAATTTTGTTAAAACAGGTGCACTTTTATGTTATTTTTTTGTACTGTTTCCTCTGTCTGCTTTTAGAAGGAACTTTCAAGTGTATTTACTAAATTATATTTTACATTTATTACTGGTCTGAAATGTAAAGCGAAAACATTTTAAAATAAATATTTGCATTTAAACTAAAACCGTGCAGGATTATTTTTTCCTCCGTCTTGTACAACGCCAGCCCCCAGTACAAAGACAGGAGGATGAGCTTACAGCCAGACACGCTCAAAGACGCAGGCCGTCCAGAGAGACGCGCGGCGAGGCGCCCCTCCCCCGCAAACGAAGGCGCGCCGCTCAGCCCCAACGATCACCCCGGCAACGCGCCGGGAGGGGGGCCTTAAATCACCTCGCCGCAGCTGCTCCCGCCTCTGATTGGGCGGGGCATGGTAGCTTCCTTCTTATTGGCTATTGGGACAGGCCACTTTCACGTGCTGGGGGGGGGTGGTGCTGCAAGCGCCTCG